TTGTGTTTGTAACTCTCTTATAACACCTCTAATCTTCGGCTTTTACATGACCTTTGTATTGCAAGTGCCGTAAAACGCTTATTAAAACTAAAACTAAACTTACTTTCCTTCCGTTGTTTCTGTCTGTCTTACTTTTTCTCTGCACTAAATGACCATCAGCGCTGTGTCGATGTGCTTCTGTTTACTCAACAAGCAACAACGAAAGCTTCTATCTTGCTTTCTCCTAGCACGAAATGATCGTTACTTTGAAAATGTGCTCCTCTCTGTATCCTAAACGTAAGTAACCGTTATTGTGTCGATGTGCTTTTCTCTACTCACAACGTATAAGAGCGTTTTTGTGTCAATGTGCTTCTGTTTACTCAAAACGTATTTGGGCGTTATTCTGTTGTTGTGCTTCTCTTTACCAAAGACGTACCCAAGTATTATTTGTGTATGTGTTTCTCTTTACTAAAAACTTAAATTACCGGCATTGTGTCTCTGCGCCTGTTTTTATCAATCAATCAATCAAATTATTCTATTCTGCAACGTTTCAGGGTGGTTGGTTGGATGGTGCTCTGGTGTATTTTGCTCCTTCTTTGCCATCAAACATCTATTGTCCGTATCTCTCCTCTTTCTTTTTTGTGTTTGTTACTCTCTTGTAACACTTCCAGTCTTAGGCACTTACATGATCTAATTGCGTTACAATCGCCGTAAAACTCTTCCTAAAACACAAAATAAAACTGAATGTTTCAGGTTTGGAGCTTCTCCGACAGCTAGGAGAGACGTGGGACTATTTCTTTAGGGAGATCCTGCCCACACTACAGTCTATGCTCTACCCGCTGTCCTCCTTGCTGGTATGGTATTGTAGGCTGCTCTCAGCAAAATACATCGGGCTGCGATAATAAGTAAGGAACCGTCCACAAATGACGTCAGCTAAAATTTGGCCAAAAATGCCCCTCCCCTGCATTCTTCTGCCATCTTTCCCATGACTCCCCCCCTCCCCTCCCCCACCAGTTGACGTCAACCAAAATGTACATGTACATTTAGATAGAACCTGTACAGGATGCATTTTATATATACTCCTTTGATCTATATTTAAAATCATTTAAAATAAAAACTATACCTGAACTGTCAGATTGTTTATTAACAACTTCAACCAATCAAAATATATGGTAAAATGTAACTGTGTTAATTTTAGGCCAAGAAAATGTGGTCTATAATATTTTTCTTCCTTTCTTTTCTTTTCTTTTCT